GAAAGTGGCCTCCCCGATTTGAAACTAAGCAACAATTACTAAAATGTCTGACTTTTCCTAGAAAATATCAGGAAACGTTGTTAACGAAAATAATTTATAACCTACTAAACTGAAAGTCAACAATATGACAGCAATATTTTTGCTTTGTTTTGCTCTTTCACACAGCGCAAATAGTATGTTTTTAGCGTTTATTTTTAAGGTATTGATGTTTACAAAGTGAATATGAAAGAGGCGGGCAATTTATAACAAGTCCACCTTTTATGTTCCAAAATTTTGTCAGGAATAGAACTTTAAAAAGGCGGGTTTTGAAGTCTCTATTGCATCGTAGTTAATGATATTCAGGCTCGATAAATGAACGTGAGCAACATTTTGACATGTCTTGAAGAACAATACGCTGGACAATTCACATCGGACTTCAGTGTAAAAGTCTTATCAGATCACAACGTAATATTTGCGACAGACAAAGGCGTCAATTAGGTCTGTTGGATTTAAGAAAGTATGATAGGTAATTATTAGCTACATGGCGAGAATTCCAAATGACTCCAGAGTAATTTGTTATGCGGTCCAAATAGCGCAGTCAAATCAGTAGAATTCTTTGAAAAAAAGAAAATAATATTTATGTATATGTCAGAATTTTGAAATGAAACGTGAAAATGGGATTTGACAATACCAGAGCACTTTGGTGGGCGTCAAAATATCACCAAACCCTTCCTGAAAGTCTGGACTCCTAAAACAGACAATTTTAACTTCTCCTTGGATCACGTTGATGTGCAGTCAGGACATAACTGCAAATGGACCGCTGTGATTATAACAATTTTGTGTGGGGTAAGTGGGTCTCTTAGTCGACTATATTAAATGTCTAACAAGCAAACTGGTAAGGGTTTAGGTACTGGAAAACACCAGGTGTTTTCTCATTACACGTGTAACACAGCTACATGTACGAATTAAAAGCACTAAACGCTTAGCATTTACGCTTTTTCTATAATAAGTTTGGATTTCTATTTCTATCTACCGTTTTAATCTTTTAAAATGTCTTGGGTCCACGGAACAGCACACGATTAACCTCTATACGAGCATCGTCTAGTTATCCTTCCTTATCAGAACGAAGTTAGAATTCTAAACAAAAATATACGATCTTTTAGAACCCCGAGTTTCTCGTTATTAAGTAAATAGATATATTCATTAGAGAAGGGTCTAAATGGATACCCCCTTCCCACCTTACCTTTTGATCGCCTGATCTGCCACAGTCTAATATTCCGAGAAAGCCCCACCAACAAAGCGACTGGGATGTCTCAGTGCGGACTAATTTGGAAATGAGTTGAAGCTTAGGGAGGTAGCACAATTCTTACATCTGAAAGGTCAACTCAAAGTTACGTAACCTCAGTAATAGTAACTATAATTTTCTTCTCACCAAAAATAATATTTCACTTAGGTATCTTCAGTAGAAAACAGCTTCATTCGTGTCTGCATGACCGCCAACGCCGTTTGGAAACTCGTTTATTTCACGCCGTTATTAAACCCTTTGCATCGATTTGTTTATTATCATTTTCTCCGCCTGTCCAAACAAAGATTGCCGAGAAAATAATATCCTTTTGCGTATCCCCCTTGCATATGCAAATAACGATTTTAGCGATAACTTTTAGGCACGTCCATGTTTTATGTAAGGCGTATCTATCATGAATTGATCGGCTCTAGCAAATTCGACTGCTTGCCTTTAACTTGTGGCTTGTTATTTGCTATCTTTTTAGAGTCTTCCTGAGCTTATTGTTTTTTTGCAAAAATAATTTAAGCATCGCGATAATTTTTTTAGGGAAAGAGGCAAAAGGAAATTAGGCATCTTTTGTTAAAGCAATGAAGTCATTTACACTTATCTGAACTTCTAACAAGCGCGCTCATCAGGTGACATCAGCCATGAGAGTAAAAGAAGAATTTTTTCCTCAAGTTTTATATTTCAAAATCCAGTTTTTGTCTGCCAAATCGAACGTCTTACATATCGATCTGTTTCGGCTAAACTTTTCGAATTTGTCATCGTTAAAAACGTTTTAAAAGCCTGTAGCGTAGACCTTGCAAGTAATGACAATGGAAAAGATAATTTTCTTTGCCTTTGAGCCAATCTTGTCTAAATATTATTGATCTAATTAGCATACCAGCAAATTTAAAATCATAAATTTCATTTCTTCAAAACGTTTTTAATTTTACTGAGCGAAGCATTTGGATTGAAATATTATTCAAATCCTTGATATACAATTTGTTCCATCTTACTGAATGTACAGAATGTTACCCAATACTATATTTTATCTATTTCTCACCGCCTCCAGCTACTTGTATTCTCATCCGTTCCGAAGAAGAAAAAGTGATCTATTCCACTTTTTAATTCAAATTCATTGTCGATATAAAGAAAACATAAATATTGCGTACTCAACTTTAGACAAAGTACACTCAGAGATCCGCGTACTTTCCCACAATTGGGGCCACGCATGCTTAAGAATAATATAGGTAAGCATCTCCTTATCACTCAGTGCTGAAAATCAATATCAGATTAACTCGAATCGATATCATGCCCCGTGGTAAAAGAGTGACACACAAAACTGAAACCGTGAGTTTTATTCGATTTGGTAATATAACCGGCGAAAAGGAAGAAAATATAAACCATGATAAAACTTACCTTTTCAATTTTTTTCCGCTGAAATAAATCCTGACACCAGTTTTTAGAAGAACCGATAGAAAGTTCTAACTTTAACGCCGCAGTGCTAGTAGACGTGATAAGCAACTTATACCTCCTTTGGCAGTTTGCTGCACAACCATCCGCAGGGGCCAATACCTGCTGTTAGAGTAAACCTCGCATGGTCGGGGATCTATATAAGACATTCACTTGTATAACGCCCAGATAAAATTCCCTAATGGATTTATCAACTACAGAAAATCAATTATTAACATTGGCCTGTCTGTGAACGTGTTCTCGGGAACGATCACTAAGCAATTTGATGGCGCTCAATGGCGCCAATAATTTACATGATAAATGTCCAAGTAAATAAAACTCGTATATATTTACGGCGGTCTTCAACTTTCGCACGCGAACACGCTTCTTTAATGCCTTCTTACCTTTCATCTTTTTATAACCTGACAACAGATTGTTTTAAATTCTGTTGTCGATGTTATGTCCGGATTTGATTTTAACTTTATTTCTTGCAAACGAATAGCTTTCCTGTTATTTGTAATGCCCATTTTATAACATCCGATATCATGATTGAAAAGTTAAATATCGTGCGCACCAGAGGTTTCTTCTAGAACATATAATAACTGACGCGCTAGAGGAATATACGATACATGCTTTTAACAGGTGAAACTTATACGCATATTGAACACGTGTTCTTGAATTTGTTTGTAAATGTCGACATTTCTGTTTTCTACAGAACTCCAAACTCTCAATTTTAGGGATATTGTTAACTTTAAATTCATTAAAGCTTTCCTTTGTCGATTAAATTTTTATCAACGTTCTTTTTTGTCATCAATATAAGCCTTCGTTTACGGAATTAACGAAGAAACGGATCCCGTGAAAAAGTCATTTTCAATTCAAGTTGGCTTTAATACCATCAAACAATAATCTTAAAATACACTACTTACTTTCTCATTTTTTATCTTCCCATAAATCTTGAGAAATTGAGGCGGACATTCTTTTGTAACCATAGATATTTTTGTAAAAGCTTTGATTAAATTCATTTTCAGTTTCTTTCCTCGATTTCAGAAAAAAGGCAAGGCAATTTTGGGAGTCAGTGCGCCAAAGTTGGACTGATTATAGATAAATAAATCAGTTGTTAACAAAATTGCAGTTCTCTGTTTTTTCGCTTTTTTTTTCATTGGGAAGAGTGCATTTTCAAAGCCCTTTTGAAACACAAACTTCATTTCTGCAACGACATCTCCACGTTATACCTGTCTATCAGATTTCGCGTAATTTGTTTAAGGTGGCTCAATGGAGTTATGCAAGATCACGAAGAGCGCGCCAGTGACAGCAATCGAAAGTTAAATATTCTCGTTCTTTTTGCTATTTTCTAAATCAAAGCTACTGAAACATAACAAACCAGGGCCAAAATTTCCTGTAGAAGAGTCACCTCTGAAATCAAGGCTTTTAGTCTCAAATTCAAACTACTCAAACATGGCCATTAATTGATGTCTGTTTGGCTTTGATTTCAATTTCCTTCAATTCCCTTCGGTAAAATTTTCAGACATTCTCCGACTGGGTAGAGTCTGACAAGAAGAAACTTTTAAAATCGAAAAAAGTGGGGTTGTCAAGGTAGTTATTTAGTTTTTAACATTTTTGTGCTTTTTTGGCTGAGCGAGAACCTTGTCTTGCAAATATTTCTGATAAATTGACAGCGAGGAAAGCTAAAAAGGTGTAACATCTCTGTCAAATTTTAAGGAATTTTACCGAAGGAAATTCGAGAAATCTGAGGGGGAAACTTTCTATTTGTTCACCTCAATGGCAATTACGTGATCAGAATAGGAACTCGCCAAGATCGCTATTTGGGCATGCGCGAACTTTCGAACCACGCGTCGAGAACGAATATGCAAACACGGGCAGTCACTTATCTTTGACGTTTTTAAATCAAAATGCTTTCGACTTGGAAGTCAGTTGAGGACATACCTTAATTCACTATGTCGCAGAATCTTTGGAAATCTCTTCGAAGTGTTTCAAAATTGCGGAGACTATTCTCGTCGTGTTTGTGACCCTTGGAAGCGATGAGCGACTCGACAATGGTGGTTTCGTCAAAATACACACAAGACCTTTCCGTCCAAATCGTTGGTACAGATTCTTCAAATCCTCATATCTTGGTCCACTTCCAGCAATTTTTTCGGCGATGCTTTGTTTTATTGGGCTATCCGCATGACCTGGGTTGTACAGCTTTCCTCGAAAGGACAGGAGTCTCTGATGACGGTTGTCAAGATATTTCATGGCTTCGGCGGCATGCTTGACAGAGATTACAGAACTTCTGTTTACCAGCATTTCATCAGACAAAGCCAGCCTAGACGAAAACAAGATTCTTCGAAGAGCGATGACGTCCCCTAGGGCGTCGTGGGCGTCAAAGGTTGTTTGAAATAAATGTTCCTAAACAGAAATCTGGTCAGGCTTTGGATATTGACCCTCGGGGTTTTGGAGGGAAGAGTGCTCGCTTTTGATGAGTGACTTCAACAGTGTCAGAGTGTCTGCAAACCGGTTGGAACTGTTGGAACTGAGCTCCACGATAAAATTTTCGCCACCATTCCGAAGAATTATTGGAATATCAAATGTCTCGGTGTTGTGTCCAGCCAAGATTGTGCAAACGGGCTTTGTGGACCGTGACGAAGTTGAATCTATGCTGGCCCTCAAAAAAGTTAAGAACTGCCTAAGTACTTGCGATAACTCAAGTGCTTCTACGGGTCGATTATCTTTAAAAAGTCGACCGAATCCATTGACAGTTTTAACTGTAAGTTTGTTGACCTTTGACGCGTGAGAATCTGTTTGGTAGAATATAGCATGAGAATTGTTTGTCTGACCTATCCACGGCAGCTAGCTGGCATACTTATACTGATTTTTCGTTTGAATTTGTCCCGATGTCAAATAAAACAAAGTGATAAAAAATTTACAGTCATCAAATGTTTCCTTTTGAACTGTGGGTCTCGAAGGGTATTTCGGAACTGCATTTTCGTACTGTTCTTGTTGTTGTTTCGTTGTAGCAGCGTTTATGTCGTAAAGTTCAATGATTGAAAGTTCAGAATTGTTCAAGTCCATCGCTGTCGCAGAATAGTTTAGGGTCAGGCCAATGCCACTCTCATACATGGTACCTGCTTTGGCCTCTTTTTTCGAGGTTTCTGAAATCTTGTGTTTGTTTAATTGTGATCGACGTCGCTTGAATGCAACTGTTGATTTCCTTCGTTTGTCCATCGCACTTTTCTTGTCCATTTTCGTAGTATGGTCTACACAGAAAAAAACCTGGCTCTATGTTAAGTGCTGCGAGAGTCTGAGGAATGTACCTGTCACCTAAATTTACTTGAGAGACACTGCAGGACACTCGCTAATCATTGCTTTCGCTTCCCACGAAAAAAAGCGAATTTTGGGGTTCTTCGAGCCCACCACACTGTTCAGAGACTCGTTACGCTGTGAATTTGCCGCAGGTGCAAGTTTGCTGATAACAATGTCTGTGCTATGTTCATCAAAGAGAGACTTCAGGGCTGATTGAAGGCTATCTCTTAGGAGGTCTTTACCATAGGGAAGATCTCTGTGACAATAATGTGAAGGGTCTTTCTTGTACCGACACCATGTTTCTCTACAACCAGAATGTTCACCAAATGCATGGGGCACAATTCTTTGAATTACAGATTTCATGTTTGTAGCATCCCCTTTGTTTTGTGCAATGCAGTATGTAAAGGACTTGACAAGGTAATTTGTGACTTTCTGTGACAACACCGAACTGTTGGGGAACTTACTTCGTTGGCTCAAGTTGTATAGGCGTGTTGTAAGGGATCTTTTTATGTGAACTGTGTCACTCCATTTTTCCACACCGTAGGGTACCTTTTGCTTTAGGTGAGATTCAGTTGTTGAATCATCATCCCCAGTGTAAATTGGAAATTTGACATCTGATTCAGTCAGCTTATTGAAAAGTTCAACTGCAGCTAAAGGTTCCATATACTTTGAAGAGCCCGAATGATTTTTTCTACAGGCGTGGTCTTTTGGTTGTTTTCCTGCCTTGTCAGCTTCATCACTGGAGTGGCACATTTTATTTTTCGTTAAGTAGTCAAGGGCCTTTCCAGTTGAAAGGCCCATGACTGCAGCATGTCCGGTTTTGGAGTTGAAGCCTCGCACCCGCTTCTGCCACCCCATGTCGTAAGAACAGGCAATGGGTACCAAATTGTTCTCGTCCGGCTTGTTACTATTTTCGATTGCCTTCTCTCGTAAACGGTTTAGGAATTGTTGGCAACTATTTTTTACCACTAGTTCTATTGCCTTTCCAGCTTCCCTTTCCCGATTTTTAAAAGTTGATGAGTTCATCGCAGGCACATTGAGGAAAGTACCAATGCCATTTCACTCTCATCAAGTAAGCTTCGCGTTTATGTGACAAAAATTGTGCGCTCGCGTGAAGCCGCCATGTTTGTTTTGATGTTTGTTGCCATTTAAAGCTTACGCCATTTTTCGTACCCACTCTTCGCGCGGCCAAAAAACCCTATTGAGCCACCTTAATTTTATTTTACTTTATAAATTGATTCTAATTGAGGCGCGAATTGTATTGGCTTTGCGTTCCAAAACTAAAATCGAGAAAATTCATCGACGGCCTACAAGGCCGAAAACTTCGAACGTGATTTAAATTTATCGCCAGACTGGCGGAAGCCGTTGAATTCCCTTTTTTTGCGTTCTTTGCGCACGTAACTTGCGTAAATTTATTCATCAGTTGCCCGATAAGGTACACGTCTGAAACTGGAAGAATCGGTGGAGACCTCTTTCATATGTAGAGAGAAACATCACGAGAATGAGCCTCTCAACTATTATTGTCAGAAATGCAAAATTTGCATTTGCGACAGGTGTGGACAAACACGTCATGCAAATCACACCAAGGTGGATATCAAGAAAGCCGCCGAAGAACAGAAAGAACAGATGGCGGAGATTGTGCAGGAAGTGAAAGTAGAGATTGCTGAGCACATGACTCAAATGGAGAAAACAAGAGAAATGTTGAAGAAAAACGGAGAGAAAATTGCTGCTGCTCATATCAAAGTGGTTACCACTGTTGAAGAAATCATTAGAATGTTAAAGGAGCACGAGATCGCCATGGTGGCCAAGTTAGATGTTATTGAAAACGAACAGCAAAGAGATTGCTCAGCACAATTAGAACACTCTCAGATGTCTGCCACACAACTGAAAACGTCTGTGGAAAGTTGCGAAAGAATTTTACAAGGAAACAGCAGTGTCGAAGTTCTTGACGAACAACAGGGGGTCATTGAAAGGTGTGAAGGTCTCCTAAATGCGAAGAAAATGAACATTTATAAACCATCGCATGTTCAATACAAGACAAATCAAGAGGATATCCAGAATGTTAGACGCGCGTTTCTGGGTGAAGTTGTTGTTTGTACAACTGATCCTCTACAATCAGTGGCGGAAGGGAAAGGCTTGAAAGACGCAGAAGCAGGAGGAGAAGCTAACCTAACAATCACAACAAAGAATGCAGAGGGAAAGCAGTGTTACCATGAAATAAATCAGATTGTTGTAAGAGTTCGCCCTCCGTCAGGACAGGACCTCGACACCAACATTGCAGACAACGAAGATGGTAAATATAGCGTCACCTACACACCCGAATGTGACGGGCATCTTGAATTGGTGATTGAAGTTAATGGACAACCGCTGATTGGTAGTCCATGGAGTATTCACGTGAAGCCGCGTCAATACCATGTCGTATGTTCTTTTGGATCACGTGGCATAGCAACAGCGCAATTTGATAATCCCTTCGACATTGCAATAATTGCCAATACAGGGAACATTGTAGTTGCTGATGCTTATAATAAAAGAGTACAACTTTTTAACTCAGATGGAATTTATTTTAGAGAGTATGGTCAGAAAGGACTTGACCCCAAAAAACTTGATTGTCCCGCGTCAGTAGCATTTAACAGGTCTGGTGACGTCACTATCTCTGTTTCTCTTGATTTTTTCTGTTTAAGTGAAAGTGGTCATTTCACTTAAAAGATCTTCAGCAAACACTTGATCAAACCAGTAACCATTACCATTGCTTGTGATGGCAGCGTGTTGGTGTGTGACCGTGGTGACAACATGGTCAAAGTCCTCGAGCTCTCCCCTGACGGTACAGATTTGTTGCAGTCCTTCAGAGACCAAGGCTGTGTTGAATCCCCGTGTTTAGCTTTTCGTCATCAAGACATATTCTATGTCTCCTATGGCAAGGCTAAATGCGTCAAGTATTTAACAATGAAGGAGAATTTCTGTATAAAATTGTCAAAGAGGAGCCTGGTAAGCTGCATCGTCCTATTGGACTCGCTGTTGACAAGTTCAACAACTTGTTAGTCTGTGACGGTAAATATGTTCAAGTTTTTACACTGGAAGGAAAAATGGTAAACTCGATAAAAGGACAGTCCATCCAAATTCAAAACCTTTTGGCTGTTGCTGTGTCAAACGCTGGGCAAGTGAACAACTGCTTGAGCCGTTTCGATTTATTACAAGGAGTCTCGAGATAGTTTTGGCTTAGATTTTTGGGGTAAAGCTTTTCAAACAAAAGCTCGGCTGTAGGAAACCATGTAGGAAATAAGAGCTCTTCATTAGCTACTATTTCAAAACGTTTAATATTAAAGAACTGCTTTAAGATACAGTGAAACATTATCCCAATCCCTTAGTTTTCTTTAACGGAATATTTCTAGCTGTCATGAAAAGCAAATGCTGTAGTTACTGACGGATTCAATTCGTTTGACTAATGTAAATGTACTTGAGTTGGATTGGTGGAAATTTTAATCTATATTTTGATTTTTTTTTTTTTTTTTNCAGAGTGTCTGCAAACCGGTTGGAACTGTTGGAACTGAGCTCCACGATAAAATTTTCGCCACCATTCCGAAGAATTATTGGAATATCAAATGTCTCGGTGTTGTGTCCAGCCAAGATTGTGCAAACGGGCTTTGTGGACCGTGACGAAGTTGAATCTATGCTGGCCCTCAAAAAAGTTAAGAACTGCCTAAGTACTTGCGATAACTCAAGTGCTTCTACGGGTCGATTATCTTTAAAAAGTCGACCGAATCCATTGACAGTTTTAACTGTAAGTTTGTTGACCTTTGACGCGTGAGAATCTGTTTGGTAGAATATAGCATGAGAATTGTTTGTCTGACCTATCCACGGCAGCTAGCTGGCATACTTATACTGATTTTTCGTTTGAATTTGTCCCGATGTCAAATAAAACAAAGTGATAAAAAATTTACAGTCATCAAATGTTTCCTTTTGAACTGTGGGTCTCGAAGGGTATTTCGGAACTGCATTTTCGTACTGTTCTTGTTGTTGTTTCGTTGTAGCAGCGTTTATGTCGTAAAGTTCAATGATTGAAAGTTCAGAATTGTTCAAGTCCATCGCTGTCGCAGAATAGTTTAGGGTCAGGCCAATGCCACTCTCATACATGGTACCTGCTTTGGCCTCTTTTTTCGAGGTTTCTGAAATCTTGTGTTTGTTTAATTGTGATCGACGTCGCTTGAATGCAACTGTTGATTTCCTTCGTTTGTCCATCGCACTTTTCTTGTCCATTTTCGTAGTATGGTCTACACAGAAAAAAACCTGGCTCTATGTTAAGTGCTGCGAGAGTCTGAGGAATGTACCTGTCACCTAAATTTACTTGAGAGACACTGCAGGACACTCGCTAATCATTGCTTTCGCTTCCCACGAAAAAAAGCGAATTTTGGGGTTCTTCGAGCCCACCACACTGTTCAGAGACTCGTTACGCTGTGAATTTGCCGCAGGTGCAAGTTTGCTGATAACAATGTCTGTGCTATGTTCATCAAAGAGAGACTTCAGGGCTGATTGAAGGCTATCTCTTAGGAGGTCTTTACCATAGGGAAGATCTCTGTGACAATAATGTGAAGGGTCTTTCTTGTACCGACACCATGTTTCTCTACAACCAGAATGTTCACCAAATGCATGGGGCACAATTCTTTGAATTACAGATTTCATGTTTGTAGCATCCCCTTTGTTTTGTGCAATGCAGTATGTAAAGGACTTGACAAGGTAATTTGTGACTTTCTGTGACAACACCGAACTGTTGGGGAACTTACTTCGTTGGCTCAAGTTGTATAGGCGTGTTGTAAGGGATCTTTTTATGTGAACTGTGTCACTCCATTTTTCCACACCGTAGGGTACCTTTTGCTTTAGGTGAGATTCAGTTGTTGAATCATCATCCCCAGTGTAAATTGGAAATTTGACATCTGATTCAGTCAGCTTATTGAAAAGTTCAACTGCAGCTAAAGGTTCCATATACTTTGAAGAGCCCGAATGATTTTTTCTACAGGCGTGGTCTTTTGGTTGTTTTCCTGCCTTGTCAGCTTCATCACTGGAGTGGCACATTTTATTTTTCGTTAAGTAGTCAAGGGCCTTTCCAGTTGAAAGGCCCATGACTGCAGCATGTCCGGTTTTGGAGTTGAAGCCTCGCACCCGCTTCTGCCACCCCATGTCGTAAGAACAGGCAATGGGTACCAAATTGTTCTCGTCCGGCTTGTTACTATTTTCGATTGCCTTCTCTCGTAAACGGTTTAGGAATTGTTGGCAACTATTTTTGGCCACTAGTTCTATTGCCTTTCCAGCTTCCCTTTCCCGATTTTTAAAAGTTGATGAGTTCATCGCAGGCACATTGAGGAAAGTACCAATGCCATTTCACTCTCATCAAGTAAGCTTCGCGTTTATGTGACAAAAATTGTGCGCTCGCGTGAAGCCGCCATGTTTGTTTTGATGTTTGTTGCCATTTAAAGCTTACGCCATTTTTCGTACCCACTCTNCATCAAGTAAGCTTCGCGTTTATGTGACAAAAATTGTGCGCTCGCGTGAAGCCGCCATGTTTGTTTTGATGTTTGTTGCCATTTAAAGCTTACGCCATTTTTCGTACCCACTCTTCGCGCGGCCAAAAAACCCTATTGAGCCACCTTAATTTTATTTTACTTTATAAATTGATTCTAATTGAGGCGCGAATTGTATTGGCTTTGCGTTCCAAAACTAAAATCGAGAAAATTCATCGACGGCCTACAAGGCCGAAAACTTCGAACGTGATTTAAATTTATCGCCAGACTGGCGGAAGCCGTTGAATTCCCTTTTTTTGCGTTCTTTGCGCACGTAACTTGCGTAAATTTATTCATCAGTTGCCCGATAAGGTACACGTCTGAAACTGGAAGAATCGGTGGAGACCTCTTTCATATGTAGAGAGAAACATCACGAGAATGAGCCTCTCAACTATTATTGTCAGAAATGCAAAATTTGCATTTGCGACAGGTGTGGACAAACACGTCATGCAAATCACACCAAGGTGGATATCAAGAAAGCCGCCGAAGAACAGAAAGAACAGATGGCGGAGATTGTGCAGGAAGTGAAAGTAGAGATTGCTGAGCACATGACTCAAATGGAGAAAACAAGAGAAATGTTGAAGAAAAACGGAGAGAAAATTGCTGCTGCTCATATCAAAGTGGTTACCACTGTTGAAGAAATCATTAGAATGTTAAAGGAGCACGAGATCGCCATGGTGGCCAAGTTAGATGTTATTGAAAACGAACAGCAAAGAGATTGCTCAGCACAATTAGAACACTCTCAGATGTCTGCCACACAACTGAAAACGTCTGTGGAAAGTTGCGAAAGAATTTTACAAGGAAACAGCAGTGTCGAAGTTCTTGACGAACAACAGGGGGTCATTGAAAGGTGTGAAGGTCTCCTAAATGCGAAGAAAATGAACATTTATAAACCATCGCATGTTCAATACAAGACAAATCAAGAGGATATCCAGAATGTTAGACGCGCGTTTCTGGGTGAAGTTGTTGTTTGTACAACTGATCCTCTACAATCAGTGGCGGAAGGGAAAGGCTTGAAAGACGCAGAAGCAGGAGGAGAAGCTAACCTAACAATCACAACAAAGAATGCAGAGGGAAAGCAGTGTTACCATGAAATAAATCAGATTGTTGTAAGAGTTCGCCCTCCGTCAGGACAGGACCTCGACACCAACATTGCAGACAACGAAGATGGTAAATATAGCGTCACCTACACACCCGAATGTGACGGGCATCTTGAATTGGTGATTGAAGTTAATGGACAACCGCTGATTGGTAGTCCATGGAGTATTCACGTGAAGCCGCGTCAATACCATGTCGTATGTTCTTTTGGATCACGTGGCATAGCAACAGCGCAATTTGATAATCCCTTCGACATTGCAATAATTGCCAATACAGGGAACATTGTAGTTGCTGATGCTTATAATAAAAGAGTACAACTTTTTAACTCAGATGGAATTTATTTTAGAGAGTATGGTCAGAAAGGACTTGACCCCAAAAAACTTGATTGTCCCGCGTCAGTAGCATTTAACAGGTCTGGTGACGTCACTATCTCTGTTTCTCTTGATTTTTTCTGTTTAAGTGAAAGTGGTCATTTCACTTAAAAGATCTTCAGCAAACACTTGATCAAACCAGTAACCATTACCATTGCTTGTGATGGCAGCGTGTTGGTGTGTGACCGTGGTGACAACATGGTCAAAGTCCTCGAGCTCTCCCCTGACGGTACAGATTTGTTGCAGTCCTTCAGAGACCAAGGCTGTGTTGAATCCCCGTGTTTAGCTTTTCGTCATCAAGACATATTCTATGTCTCCTATGGCAAGGCTAAATGCGTCAAGTATTTAACAATGAAGGAGAATTTCTGTATAAAATTGTCAAAGAGGAGCCTGGTAAGCTGCATCGTCCTATTGGACTCGCTGTTGACAAGTTCAACAACTTGTTAGTCTGTGACGGTAAATATGTTCAAGTTTTTACACTGGAAGGAAAAATGGTAAACTCGATAAAAGGACAGTCCATCCAAATTCAAAACCTTTTGGCTGTTGCTGTGTCAAACGCTGGGCAAGTGAACAACTGCTTGAGCCGTTTCGATTTATTACAAGGAGTCTCGAGATAGTTTTGGCTTAGATTTTTGGGGTAAAGCTTTTCAAACAAAAGCTCGGCTGTAGGAAACCATGTAGGAAATAAGAGCTCTTCATTAGCTACTATTTCAAAACGTTTAATATTAAAGAACTGCTTTAAGATACAGTGAAACATTATCCCAATCCCTTAGTTTTCTTTAACGGAATATTTCTAGCTGTCATGAAAAGCAAATGCTGTAGTTACTGACGGATTCAATTCGTTTGACTAATGTAAATGTACTTGAGTTGGATTGGTGGAAATTTTAATCTATATTTTGATTTTTTTTTTTTTTTTTTTCATTTTTTAAAAAAAATATTTAGGCAGGAAATTCCAGTTCGGTAGAGCTGGTTTAATTCTGGCACTATGTCTAAGAAATACTAATTATGAGGAAATATCATCCCATCATAATTAAATATGAGTGGCCACAAAGTTCAAAACAAGTTTGTCGCCTGGAAAACAATACAAGGGCATTTTTTTCAGCAAGCGATCTGATTTCACATGGGAAAGTGTTACAGGCTTTTGCTCCATTATAGCACTATCGACAAAACTAAACTGTGACAGGCTGACAGGCCTATAGTGATATTCAGTGTTTACAAGCAATAAGGGCCGACTCTTTTTGCAATTAATTTTCGCAAATTTGTCAGAAAGAACTAGATTATTTCAACAGCCAATAGAGTTCTAGATAGCACATTGAGCACGCAATACATGCGTAGGAAACGAAAAATAAAACTACAATTCGGCGCAGAGAAACCAAGGTACCTTAAAAAGCTCGATTCCACATTATCAGCAAGATTCACGATAGCTAACAACGGGAAGGTTGTTTTTTTCTTCCTCAGTGGCGCTTGCATGTAAGGTAACTACTAGAGCAACTAGCTGTTTTTTGAATTACTCTTGTTCTTTACATGGCCAACGATTTATTTTAAGAATGTGGATATTAAGCTTTCACAGGAAAACGACACACCCCCAAAAAGGCGTATGCTTTATTAATTTTATTTGAGTAACTGTTTTAGATTTTAAACTGAGAGTGGTATTGTAGAGGGCTCATGGTCTTTTACCATTCAATAGCCACCCATATCGTAAAAGTTCAAGAAAGTTAGGAGTATTCGCCATGGAAGTGAGTGCACAGGACATTAACTTTTAATTAAGAGTGTACTTCAATTAT